CCTTCTATGAACTAATTTAATGCCACCCTCTTAAACCCTCTCCTCTACAACTGCAACTATGACACTAATATCATCCACCTTCCCACCAGTATAATAAAATGCCTCCCGTGAAGCTCTGCTCTCGAATGGACTGCTACACTCCAGGTCTTGACTAGTTCCTTTTGCTCGAAACGCCAGCGATTCAGCTAGAACCTGGGGATTTATAATAGTTGATGTTGTCGAGTTCCTCTTTCCGTTAACAGAGCGCTTAACTTCCTCGACGATATCCTCGTCAAACAGGTTATCGAATATCCCGTCTGATCCAACAACAACTATGTCTCCTCTGACAACTTTTACAACAAACACTTGGGCATCCCGTGGTGCGTCTGAAGAACCGGTTCCAAGTTGGAATGGGTAGTTGAAAGAGTGGGTTTGTTCTTCATTGCGGAAGATTATGTTTTGATTGCGGATTATACAAATTCCACAATCGCCCAGGTTGGCTATTCGTAATTCATCGTTACGCAAAACTGCTATAAGAGCTGTTGTTGAGCCTACTATTCGCTACAGGTGACGGACAGGAGAGTAAGAGAGTAAGTAAGTATGTATGTAAACTATACAGAGTATATCCCAAATGTACTTGTTCCATTACAATTGCTTGATTCTAGTAGTCCCATCATAATACATATCTTTTGATCCATCACAATCATCAACCCTCTCTTTTCACCCACGTTAAACTCACCTCTAGAGCACATTGACGCATAGTCTGTTCGTAACTTTTTTGGAGGACTTGTTTCGGATCCACCGTGTCGTAAACGTAGTGACTGTCCTTTTCTGGGTTATCATACTTTTCCAGCTCGACGTAGGCGCTATGCATTAGCTTTCTTGATAACAAGGCTGGATCTGGTCTTGTTTCTCCTCGCGATTCATGTTTTCCCCATGCGCTTACACCATCCGCTACTCCCAATGAATCATGTCTCGTGAACCAATTATCCTCTCCACATCCAACAGACAAGTACTTTCCGTCGCTGATGGTTATTAGCTGTGAAGATTGTTTGGGGATTCCAGCCGCACCTGATACTAGCGTATATGATCTGTGTGCAACGAAACTTTGGTAGCCGCAACTAATTTCAGGGATTAATGGACCAGTAGAAGGCTCACGAACAACCTCAAGAAAATGCGAAGGGACTGTTGAATGGGGTTTGCGGTGTGCCGAAGAAGAATGAATGGTGCGTTTGAGGGATGCAGAGACTAAACGGGAGGAGGGAAATGTGTGAGAGACAGAAGGGACGGTTGTAGGGATGTGCGGAGAGGTATTCTTGGGAAACGAATTAACACCTTGTGTGGTGTAATTGTGGGTCGTGTTCAGTGAAGTTCCAAGTGATCCGATACATCCTCCATTTTGGA